GGGATGTTTTTTTGCTATTAAAAAATTGCATGTATAACAACAATCCATGATTGTAATATGTATATGTTTTAATTTAGTATAAAAAGTAAATTATATATACCTTTATTGACTCCTGATGTTTGTCTGCTTTGATCTAAAAAATTGAAATCAATTAGTAATGAAAGCAGCTAAATGAGTAATAATATATATTGCATATATAATATACATTTAGTTTTATAATTGGTTATTGCCGTGACAAGATTATCAGTGATGGGTTGCCTGTATCTACTGAGGGAGTGACAATGATAAACCTTATAGGATATCATTTTACTTTAGTGGATAATGCTTTTTCCATTTTTGGAGTCTATATAATGCATATGCATGGCAAAAATGTATTTAGATTTATATTTTGTGTATTGTGATTTCAATATTAATAAAAAACTCAAAATTTGAGTCGATTTCCGCTACATGTTTTTAATAATATTTCATGGTATGCATGTAGCAGGCTGTACATGCCTACGTGTACATTTAAATTTAATGTGCCTTACTTGAAATGCTCTTCCTCATGTTTGCTCCATAGTCCTTTAATGTAGGATAGTCTACAGTGTCAGATTCAAATACATCACATATTTTGAGTAGGCATCCATCAGGGTCGTCACTGTCCCCTATCTTGTTTTTTAGCTTCTCAGCCACTTCACTCCCTCTTTGATGTTCTGTTAAGCCTTGTCTTTTTACAGCACGAAGCTCATCATCTGTAATCAAATTCTTAGCATTAAGAGATTCAGTGACAGTGGTAAAAGGTGGATCCCTCCCAAGTATTTTTGTAAGCTCTGGTACTGCTTCTTTAAACACATCTTTTGCACTTTCACCTACAATACAGAGCTAAAGGATTGACACAGTTCATACATTGACATACCTCCTTCAGCCATAACAGCCCTGAATTGAATTGCTTTTATCAGCAATGTAGGGGTGGATCATGTATCACAGCCTCAGACCACAGTTACTCTACTATGAATATCATAAAACTATAGTCTACTATAAATAATGCTTTGTGGAATTATTGCACGATTTTATGATGAACATGCAGCAAAATTGATTTCAAGCAAATATTTCCAACTATACAGTATGATTTCAACAAAAACATTGATACTATCAATAACTCAATGTTGTTTTGTCAACTTGAGCATATCCTGAATTGAAATAAAATACAAATTAATTGTAAGAACTAAGAAATTTATTAAAAATATTTTAATTTTTTATGTAGGATTATAAAAGCTCTACATTAAGGAATGACTGTAGGTCTATAAGGCAATGAACAGTATGATCATAATAAAGTAATGACCATGTCAGAAGGAGCTGGGCTGAGACAATGATCATGTGCAACATTTCCTAAGGTTAAATCTATATGTACAAATTTTGCATATTTTGTGGTTTTGTGACATAAAAATAAACAATAAAATTGACAAGGTACAGATTCTCATGTAGTCAGCCAGCCTCTGCTTAAGTCTGGTTTTTAAGACTATGCATATTTGGGTAGACAGGCTCAAATATCTTTGTTTTATGTTCATTTTACCTGTAGCTTTATTCATAAAACTTTACTTCACTCTTAAACGGTAATGTTATAGAGTTCTAATAGTGTTTGAGGTGTTTTTCAGCAGCTGCACGATTCCCTGTTCCCCTCACTGCATCTATCAAAGTCTCACCATCTAGCCATGCTTCTATAGTCTTCCTCAAATGCCTGTATGCATTGCCACCACCGTCTGCAATGACATTGAGTCTTGGTATCAGTAGACCTAACTTCAGCCCCAAATTATTCTGTTCTGCTCAACCAAACATAGATTTATCTAGGTATAGGTTATTACTGTTGTACCTAATGTCTTACCCAGGTGTCAGGCTCCATCATTATCAGGATTAACAGTGGTACTGCCATAATGAGGTTGTGCTGTTAAAGCTGGAGAAGTATCAGTAGCTATATCAAAGAATCAGTGAATCAACAATGAATCATATAAAGCTAGTGAAAATTTTTTCCATGGAGAAAATGGTCAAAATTGCAACTAATATTATAATTGAAAAAACTGTAGGCTGAGGACCTTTGTACTAAATCAAATATTTGTTTTACAGTTATACTTACTTTTTTCCACTTTGATAGCCACACCAATAATAATAGCAAAAGCAATAGCCACCAATGCAAAACCCCATATAATCCTGATTAAACGAAAAGAATTCTAATTACAGAAAAGACAAACTATCTTAGACTTTTGTTCTCATTGCTACTGAAGTACTAACACAGAATGCATCAAGCCCTATGATTAAGTAATAAAGCAGGATTTTGTTGATCATTCTTAGTATAACCCATGCTTTTTCCAAAAATTAGGCTAGAACTTTTGCTGAGGCATTATGTACAAAGTAAAAGAATTATTTATTCAAATCAGTTTCAAAATTAAATTCACACAAAAAATCACTCAATTTCTGGTATGTTAATTATTAAAGCTAGCAAAATATCAAAAATTTCAAATGCAAAAGCTAACAAAATAAATTTTAAAATGTAATTTAAGTTTAATCATTAGTCAGTTACAAAAGTTTTGAAATTGTTATTGATTTAGTACATTATGCACATAATGAGCAGCAGCACGGGCTGCAAATGGCTTCCATCCTTTAGTGGCTTCTTTGTTACCATCACCCCAGTCACCGATACCCTTGATGACAATAACGTCAACACGTTGAAGGGTGTACTCAATAGCAGTCACTACTCCAATTCCTTCCATTTCTCCTGCTATAGCATTAGGAAATTTTTTAAACAACTCTTCCTTAATGCCTGGATTATCAATCAGATCAGCTGTTGATACAATTCCACCTTGTAAAACTTTAATTTTACGGGGCATTTTAAGCTTTTTGAAGATATTCACTGTATCGTGTCTCAAAGTATGATTTCCACCTCTCTGACTGTCATCGTCGACTCCTCTACGCTTACTTACAAAATTAAAAATTTCATCTGAAACAACGACATCACCTAATTTCTGGTCCTTTGATGGACCCTTCCCAAAACAAACGCCAATAGCAACAACGTATTTGATGCTCGTAAACCTTTCTAGTATCTTTGTTGTGATAACAGCAGCATGAACGGGACCTTGCTTGTTCTTAGCTGGTGCTGTCATTGTAACCATAACTTTTGTTTTTCCATAAGATCCGACATATATTATTAAACCATCAATATCTATAGCTTTAATAGAAGTCGAACAGTTTAAACTTGATAGCTTTAAATAATACTCGACTGCATCATTTTCAGTAACAGTAGCTGGCAAAAGTAGGTATTCAATCCCCTTGAGATCTTCAGTTTCTATGGTTTCAGGCTTAGGGAGCTTACGATCAAGAATCATCTGTTCATATAACCACATTGGTGGACCTGAAAGAAAATACTTGAATTTTGTTTTTAAAGGTACTATGTTACTTAATGAGGGTGAGAAGTATTTTATTTTTGCTAGCATTTTTCATCACAGCATAAATTGAAGACACATTTTTAAAAACCAAGTATATGTAGTGCAAGTTGTGTACGTTTTTGCCTTACAATTAATTAATATAGTTAATGTTAAAACAAATTATAAGTTAGCAAAATTAATTTTAAGCAGCCTCTTGTTATAATGTAGTATATTAGGAAGATAGAGCACTATATGTATGTTGAAATTGTATGCATATAATTGATTACCTTCTTGTTTATCAAATTTCTTGTTACCAGCACCTTGTTTTGGAATTTGAGTTGACATATCTAGAATAGTATACAGAGCATTAGTAGCAAGACATGTTAACTTTCTGCAAATTGATATCTAAAATTTATAAAATTCCTTTTGTTATGCAGTGAATGCCAATGCTGGCATTACTTGTGGGTGTGAAAAGCTTTTATTTTGCACAAATTGTTGATGAATTAATAAATAATTTTAAAACCTAGCTTACAACCAAAAAGAATAACTCTAAGTATGTTTATTACCGACATGTGTAATATACATTATGTTGAATCACAATAGATAATTATTTTGTCTGCAGAGTTTTGTGTTAGTAATTAATTACCTTGTGGTCCAGTTGGGTTTTTTGAATCTAAAATACAGAGTATAATAAACAATCAATATTATTATATAATTTGGTGGTAGATATGGCAGAAACCTATCATTAACTCTCTGTAAATTATAAAGTATTAAATTGGATTTGCCAATGTTACAGACTCTGAAGTTTGAAACATGGCATACCACACTTATTGTCTTATACTACATTTACGTTAAAATATGTATTCTGAACACCATCAGTTACATTTATTGAAAGTGATTTCCTGTTAGTATTATATTACATTCAATTTTTAAGTTTTCTACTATTAATCTATTACTAGTACCTTTTGTCATTGGTTCATCCTCATCACTACTTTCCTGTTCATTATCACTTTCCTGTTCATCATCACTTTCCTGTTCATCATCACTTTCCTGTTCATTTTTATGGCCCTGTTTTGAAGCTAAAATAGTGTACAGAGAGCATAATAGGAGCATTAGTATTAATTATTGGTAGATAGAAGGCAGATCATCTATTACTAAAAATTAATAATTCATGATTCAGAACTTATTTATGTTTTATATTAAAATATGATAATCACAATTACAATTGCTATTATATGACAGTACTTACATAGCTGCATTCTCAAATTTTCTACTATTATTTTACTGTATATAGTTTATAGTTTATTGACATTGGGAAAGCATTAGGCATTATATCTCTATCAATTATACAATGTACATACTGCATGTGAAAAATTAGTAGGAATAGATAAGGAACTCTTCATGTGGTTGTATGACTAGCAGCTGTGCTACTACAGATTTTACAGTATAACCTCAAAAGAATGACTTAGGGAGTGTCAGAGTGACAAAGAATTCAACTGATGCCCACATGATTTATACTCCTGCACTTTTTATTGCATTTCAAAATATTACAATAATTGAGAAACTTTA